GAGCCTGGTTGCAACCAATAAAAATAAATCATAAATCTGCTTCCTGCTGTCTTTAAGTGTCCTGCCTCCTCTGTCTCTACAACATTTTGTAATGTAGTTATAATGTAAACATAATTGTTGCATACATACATTTAATAATCAGAAAAATAAAAAAAATATGGCAATTATGAAAACTTTGTGAAGCAAAATATTTCAGGTTTCCAGCTTTTTGTTTTCATAATTGTCAGATTAACTTTTAATAACATTTCTAAAAACCAAAACAAACAAACAAACAAAAAAGTCTTAGAAAACATAAGTAGAACAGCTCTTGTTAAAGCTACAACATTTTTGGAACTCTAGCATTGTAGCTTTAAAGACAATTTCATGAAGAAACCTGTTGATGGAATTGTGAATTACATTTTATTAATGAAGCATTGAGAATAAAGGAGAGCCAGGCAGGGGTAAGTTCAAGGCATGGGCAGGAATTTCCAGCAATATTAAACATCAAAGTATGGTCAGGCCAAATAGAAATCTTAGTATTTTACAGTAAAACAGAAATAAAGTTTTCATGACTTTGTGATAGAGATGGCTCCCAATCTTCCAATCTTAAGATGGATTCAGGATGAGTAAATCATATATATATATATATATATATATATATATATTTGTTGTTAATATTTATTTGGAACAGAAAAAGAAAATTTGCACCTGAGTGCTTGCTTTTAAGAAACAGAGGCTGTAAGATGCACGCTCTGTGAAGCAGAGCTGGAAGGCCCCTCTGAGGGATGGTGGGAGGGACTGAGAGGAAGCCAGCTAAAGCACACTTTGTGTGGGCATGCCATGCTGTGACCATGGAAGGCAGGGTTTGGAAGAAGCCTGCACAAAAGAAAACTCATTTGTGTGGAAACACCCTTCTGCTGCTGCTGTGTGGCCAGAGTTGCTTTTCTATGTGATCTGAAAATATGACCACAGCACTGGGCTTTCCACCCTCTCTGCCATCTTGCCCAGAGCATTTCCCAAATCTGCCCATCTGAAGTTACAATATCCTTTTTTGGTGGAACTCTGTTGGGCTGGGAGCCACCATGTTTGTTCTGTGCACCACAAGCAAGTTGGCTCCAACTACCCAGTGATGGTTTTGCCTTGCCTTCTCAGATTGTATCCCCCTGTGGCAGCACTGTGTGGCCCCATAGGCCACTTCTCTTTGCCCCTTGCTGGCTCCTTGTGATACTGTGGTTATTGGTGATGAGTCCTGTTTCCCCACATGTTGAATTTTGAACATCAGAGAAGCACGCCAAGGCAAGCATATGAAGCAAGGTTTATTTGAAAAGGGGTAACATAGACTTCTCCCACAAAGGAGAAGGGGGTCATAGCTGGTATCCTGGCATTCCAAGAAGCAAAGAGGTGTTCACCTCTTTTTATATGTCCTAGGATTCCTATGTTCTCCTGCCTTCCCACCCTTATCTTTCTCCTTCCTGAGTACTTGACTAGGCCAAGAAATGCTGAGTGTGATGGCCAAAAGGTGTGAAATATGTGGGCTGAAGGGGGAAGGGTGGGGTGTAGTAGCCAAGGACACATTAACAACCTTATAGCTCCATGTAGGGAGGGGAAATTCCTGGGACAGGTTACCTTGACATGATGTTGGAGCAGGGGCAGCTTCTTGATAAGATCTCTGGGGGTGGGGAAGGGGTAACACAGTCTTCAACTTCCCAGACTCACTCAAAATTAGCCTCCAAGACCCAACTGACTTGATCTACCTATCTACAATGACTGCCTGTCTAATTCTGGCTTCACTTGCTCCAACTTTCAGCACCAGTGGTGGGCTGTAGTGGTGGGGTTTGTTGTAGCCTAGGTTCTCCCTGCCCATGGACAGTCTTGGCCAGACTTTTTTTAAAATGCGAATGTTTCTGTGAAAGCCTTGGATAAGTCTTATCTCACAATGCTTCTGCAAACATACCTTCACCTGAGAATTCTTTTGCAGGAATTTTTGCCAAAAGTCTAAGAATAATTATGGTAAGGGTTTCTGGAGAAGCTTAATTAAGATTTTTTTGTGGAAGAGAGGGTGCAACGACACTCTCTGTGTAGTTCCTGGCACTGCTGATCCCATTACCATTCAGGTAGGTACATCCTCCAAATCCTTTGATGGAAAACCTAAAATCTGACACAAAAATATTAAATATTCATAGGCTGGACATCCACATTTGCTTCTCCACTACACTGTCCAGCATCAACCCTCCATGTTTTTTTAATGTGAACAAGAGAAATGTGCCAGTGGTAATATATACTATTTCTGCATTTAGTTTCCTTTACATTCTCAAGGTCTTTGCTTGAATAACACAAGTTTATCATTCATCTATCCCAAGCCCACTTATATGTTATTGATTAGGTATTTAACTGGTGCTTGCTGTTGTCTCCAAACTGTTGTCATTGGTGGCTTTTTCTGAAGATTATTTTTAGTTTGATCTCCACTTGTTTCATAAATGTCTGAAGATATTTAAAAATCACTTACTACTAAATTCCTAAGAGTTTAACATTTATGATGAAAGTGATTGTGCCCCTATATTTTATCTGTTCTGATAGATGATTACTTTACCATAATTGAAATGTTTATAACAATTTAAAGGTGCTAAGATTTCTTTTGGCTCATTGTTTCAGTCCATGGTCAGCTAGGTCCAGTGCTTTCAGCCTTATGTGTGTTGAGAGCCATCCATGGGCTCTGTAGACTCAATTGTATTCCACAGACTAGTGAAAAGGATAAGATGGTGTCTAGGAACTTCCAGTGAACATTTCCTCTTCTGAGACATATTTTGAGCTCCATTGAAGCTCTGTCAATGATCCCACAGAGCACTGTATATGGGGTAACCTGCTGTAGCCACACAGCCCTTCTTAGATGGGTGTGACCTTCCAAGATGCCAATCAACATGCTGACTACAAGACATCATGAAGTATGGCTCTACTCCTGAAAACTTGTCCCTGCCTTTGGTGTCCCTTTATATAAACCTCAGGAGTCATTTTCTAATTGTCTAGCTCCAGCTCCTGTGTGGACTGGACCTATCAGGGGCTCCAACTTTTTGAAGATAGCTTTCTGACTTTGTCCTTTGTTCTTCAATAATTCTTATAGACTTTCATTTCTTAGGAGGCTTATCCCTCCAAACCAGTAAGAATTCATTGGCAAGGTCCTGGCCACCCCAAGAGATGTGAGGATGAGCATCATGGTAGAAGAGCATGGCAGAGGTAACCTTCTCAGCTCATGGCACTCAGGAAGCAGGGATAGGCACAGCAGAAGGGACCAGGAGCTAAGATTTCCCCAAGTACATACCCCTAGTGTATGCCATTTATCTATGGAAGGATTCTGTGTCTGGGATTGAGGTCTCTAATAGCTTCATGACTGTGGCATGGTGGTTGACTAGGAAGTTTCTGTGCAAAGACACAGAATACCTGGCTGCTGGGAAAACTTCTGTACAAAGACCCAGAATGTCCAGCTACTGGAGCAATGTCCTTCAGGAGGAGGCTCTGAGTTAGTGTCTTATCAGCCTTGACCTTGATCTCACACACACGCCTCCTGGGAATAATGGAACTCTCTTATTAGACAACTACAATGTTTCACTGTGCCTAAATCTGTCCACATGACAGTAACTTTATACAATGGACTTTCTTGAGAACTACACAAAGCTCCTAACATTGCCCATTGCAACTTAGTATGTAACTGAGGAATAAGCTTCATAATATTGCTGAGTCTGTTACCTGCCTAGTAATACAATGAACAATATGTACCAATGATGTCAATGATCTAAAGTAACCTAAGGATGTAAATAAAGCTAGCAGCTTGGGCGAGCAGCTTTTGCTTTTGCCTAATAACTATGCTTCTGTCTCCTTTTTTTTTTTCTTACATATCTATATTTAAAAATTTGGGAAATTATCAGCCTATGTTTGTCATTCCAGCACAACATTTTTAATGCCCCTTTCAATATCCAACATATGCCATTGGGGATGACAAATTATCTAATTACTATATTTCAAAATAGAAGGAGAATAGTGTATTTGATGTTTCAGATTATTCTGTCAATGTACCTACTTCCCTGAGCCATGCCCCAGTTACCAAGAATCCATTAAAATTATTACCCATCAAATGGATTTATCCACTGATTTCCTTCTGATAATGAAACATTAGAAGAGATTCACAATGTTTCTCTGGAAACTTTGCTTTTATGAATGGATGCAGCAGTGTAAAGAGTGGACATATATGAGTCTTACAAATGTCAGTCCTTCAATGGCTAGATATCACAGTCCTCTCTGTTTATCAGCAAAGTTCTAAATTAGTGTATGCATGAGACTACAAGAACTATGCTAGATGCCATCATCCTGCTAAAGATGTCAAGCAAAATCACAATAATATAATTTCTTTCTAGAGACACAGGTAGTAAATGGAAGAGCATAAAAATATTTGTATTTTGGGTGTGTGTGGAGTTTAATGGGGATGGAATTTTGGGCCTTGAGCATACTAAGCACACTGTCTACTACTGAGTCCAGGATTCATATTTTTTTATCTGCTAGTGCAATGCACTTTACATGTGGATAATTTTCTCATCTCAAACACACAAATCGCACACATGAACACAATGGAAGTAAAAAAAAAACTCTGAAAACTTACCAGGTTTTACATTTAGTGTTGTTTGTCCACTTCCATATGTGATACGATGCTTTTCTGTTAAGGCCAATCCAATAATCAGAAAGACCTTTATATCTTTTCAGGAAATTCTGCTATACAACACAGAAAGTGAAAACATGTGTTCATATTTTTTAACATTTTTTTAGTTATACATGGACACAATATTTTATATTTATGTGGTGCTGGGGATCGAACCCAGTGCCTCATGCATGCTAGGCTAGTTCTGTACCTCTGAGCCACAACCCCAGCCCTGTGTTCATGTTTTTAAAAAGATCTTGAGTTTATTTCCCTACAGCCTTCTCTTTTGGAGGTGATATCATGGTATAATTGAGAAGCACAGATTTTGAAGTAAGACCAGTCCTCAATTCTCAGTTAAGTCATTTAATATCCGTGATCCTAAATTTCTTCATAAGGGACCATATATTCATTTCTATCATTCCAGCAAAATGTTTTTAGTGCCCACCTTCAATATCCAACATGTATCAATGCAGATGACAAATTATCTGATTAGCATATTTCTGAGTAGAAGGAGAACAGTATATCTAAATTTGCAGGTTAATATGTCAACATATCTGAAAGGACTCACAGAATTCCAGGCCAAGTATATACCTCAACAAATGGCACACACTAAAATGTTTCTCATGCCCCAAATTCTGTTTGAGATGGGGTCCTTTCTCATATTTCAGCTTTAGCTTTATGCAGCCCAAACCACTCAGGGGGCACAAAGAATTCTAAAAAGAAAAGTGATCCCAAACCTTTTCTTACCAGTTCCTCCTGGCTTTCAAACTGACCAATACCGGCTTCAAAGTTAGCGCAAAAGGTCTGGCTGAATGTCCAATTCCCCATATCTTCAGCAAAATATAAACACTGGCTTCCAAATGCTATCCAATCTTTTGGGCAGGAAGACAACACAGAGTTCTCTAAGGTCTGCTCCTTATTTTTTTCTAAAATTGAGACAACCAGAAGGAATGATAATTAGCAAACTTTTTTATCTCTTTTATTTAGTTTTTTTCTATTCTAATTCTGAGTTCCATTTTGAAGTATGCTATTGATTATTGCTTTCCCGATTCATCACCAAGTCTTATCCCAAGTGTAATCATCATGTGCCCAGTGACCTTCAATTTAGGTATCTGCTCCCCTTTCTGTGGACAACCTCCATGTTCTTAACAACAGAAAGGAAAACTCCTTACCCGTCCTCGATTTTACTATCATGCATTTATTGAGGGATGAAGAAGCTTCTAGTATATAGTGTATGACACCATTCAAAATACTGGTTTTGATACCAAAAGTACGATCAAGGACTTCCTAAATTTTCTGGTGTGTGTGTGTGTGCGCGCGCAAGCGCGCTATTAAATATGTGCACAAATATTTTGACCAAGGCCACTGTTAGGTATCCTGAAACCAACAGGATTTCAGAGTATAGCTTTCTAGAAGAACACATATTTTAATTCCATAGCTCTATAATTTCTCTCCCTTAACATCTAAAAATTTTAAATTGCTTTTTAGAATGTTTAGTGAAAGCAAAATGAAAAGAGATCAGGCAAAATTATCAAATAACAACAATGACTTATTTTCCTTTAGATTTAATAGTAGGAAATTCTTTACAGCTCTTCCTAACTCTGATCACTAGAATAAGTCATTAGGTAAGAAGATAAAAACAAAGAGCTGTAAAGATTATTCTCACTGATTCCTTTTAAATTAACAGAATTATTTTCAGAGACTGCTAAATATTTTAGGCGACATTGAATAAAACCCTTTGGTAAAATATTTATCTGACTTTTAGACTTGTGTATTATTAATTGAGCTAGTTAAAGCTAATTTAAGAAAATAATGTTTTTCATATTATGTAGTTTTATGAAACAGTTACTCCAACTGTAGTCAATTCTCATCTTATTTCCTCATGTAAAATGCTTAGTATATTCTTTTGTTATTAACAAAACATAAAAGTAGATGATAAATGCTGGATGAATTAAATGTTGTGGGAGAGAATTAGCAAATTATACAATTCTCATATTCACAGAAAAAATTCATCAGAGGATGAGTTTCTTAATGAGAAAGTCTCTGAGTTTTATCAATCATTTATTTTAATTACTGTAGCAGGATAATACCAGAATCAAATACACTATGTGCAGGTATTTACTGAAGAAGTAGTATTCTTTCTGTCATACTCTCCAACTAATACATACTCATAATTTGAGCTACACATAATATTACATTATGGCAAATTGTTGAGAGCAGGATAGGTGCTAAATCACAATTTAAATTTTGATAAAAATTAAATTGCATTTTCTTTTGATAATTTTCAAAATTTATATCAAATAGTCTTTTTACTATTTTTTAATTTTACATACATGCAGTATCTTTATTGTGGTGCTGAGGATCACACCCAGTGCCTCACACATGGGAGGCAAGGACTCCACTGTTGAGTCACACCCCAGCCACCTCAAATTGTTTTAAAATATAAAATATTACTAAAATTATAATTCTAAATAATCTGAAAAAATATTTTAAGAGAGTCTTATATGATTTTTTAAATGAAACTTCTACATATTCAACATATTAAGCATGAAGAAATAAACTTTAAATAGGCATCTCATATTACACTATGATAAAATTCTAGGATATAAATACATTTGAAGAAAACAAATCAACCAGAATTTTCAAACATTAGAAAGGTTTTGCTTCATGTGTTTTCTTATTATTAATTTTAATTCATTCATTTACTCATTCATTCATTCATTCATTTTGTGGTGGGGGAATCAATCCCAGGTCCTTATGCAGGCTAGGCAAGCACTCTACCACTGAGTTACACTCCGAGACACATTGTTCCTGCTTATTTAAAAAAAAAAAAAGTTAATTTTTTTTGGGGGGGTGATTGGATTTCAAATCATGACAAAATTTGTATTCCAATAGATATATTTAAAATGACAATATAAAGATAAGTTTTAATATGCCAACATATTTGATGTGCTAGAAATTACATCATTTACAACTATTTAAATATCTGATGAAAAATTCCAGGTAATATATAGTTTTTAAAATTATTTTAGGTCATGTTTTAGAAATTGTAAGATGGCTTGGGAGGCTGAGGCAGGAGGCCAGTAAGTTCAAAGTCAGCCTCAGTAACTTAGCAAGGCTCTAAGAAACTTAGTGAGACTCTGTGTCTAAATTAAAACATAAAAAGGTCTGGGGATGTGGCTCAGGGATTAAGCATCCCTGAGTTCAATCCCCCTTCCAAAAAATGTGGATAGCAGAAGTTGTAGAAACAACAAAAATTTGAATACCACTTTTTGTAAATCAAAATACACATATTTTCTCATGTAAAGTCATCTCTACCTGAGCAGTTCTTTAATAGACCCCAAGCAAAGCTGGTGATATATTGCTCCTATATATAAAGGATGAATATTTTTTAAAGAGATTTATAGTTCTTCTATACTGTCCTGCATTCTCAGTCTTCTTAAGTGTAAGATGAAATACTTAAGGTCAAAGGATAAGCCTCTGCCTGAGAATATTTCAAGTACATACTCTACTTTATTCTTTAATGGAATGACAATTCTGATTGGGACATGTCAGGAAATACTTACCTAAATGGAATTTCTCTACCCACAGCTTTGCTCATATCAGTGAATTGCACTTGTATTCTTTCAAGCTCAAAAGAAAATTCTTAAAATTATGATTGACTTTTGTCTTCCTAATACTCAATATTCCATCTAATATGAAATACTGTTGGCTTAACTTCCAAAATATCAACCCTGCCCACAACTCCCACTTTTTTTCATCAGGCGTAAGCCATCATCATCTCAAGTTGATTTCTACAAGATTTTTCTGAAAAGTCTTCCTGCTTTTATCCTGGTCTCCTAAAAGTTTATTCTCAGTATGGAAATCAGTAATTCAGCCATTAAATTTCAATGCTGCCACCTCTCTCTTTCTATTGCATTCAGAGTGAAAGGCAGTTTTTAAATAGCTTACAAGATTCCTGCTATCCATGGAAAATATCCCCAGTGGATGCCTGAAACTGTGGATAATACCAAACCTTATATATACTATGTTTTCTTTTTATTCCTATACATACAAGCAGCCCATTGATAAAGTTTAACCTTTTTATTTAAAAGGCGGTCTTTATGACTTCTCTTTGGTATATCCAAATTGCCAACATACTACTTTTGTGCTTTGGGGTACTGTTAATAATAAAAATTATTAGAACACAGATACCATGACCATGAATCTGATAATAGAGGCAGCTCCATTATCAGATGCATAGGCAGGTTGTGGATGCATTAGACAGAGGGATGATTCAAATTTGGGGCAGGATAACAAAAAATGGGACAAGATTTTGTTACATTATTCAGAGAAGTGTGTAATTTAAAACTTATAAATTGTTTAATTTCTAAAATTTTCCATTTAATATTTTTGGAAAACAGTTGACCATGTGTAACTGAAACCACAGGTAATGAGGGGATGCTGTACCTTCCCCTATTATATTCCTGTTCTCCATTCTTACTCTACTTTATCTACAGCACACTCCCAAAGTCTTAGGGCTTTACTTTACTTTTTCTTTCTGGAACAGTTCCCCAGTAAACCATGACTTTTCCATTCCCTTCAAAATGCTGCTAAATACCTTCCCAAAGAAGATCATATTGCAACCCTAGGTATATTACAACCTGTTCCACTCTTACCTTTATTTAGTTTTACCTGTATTAAGAAATTAACTTTGAAGACAGCTGAAATTGTTTATTTTGGGGTGTGTGTGTGTTTTATATACTAATATATCTCAAGCACTTTACACAGTGCCTGACACATAACAGAGCTCAAAATTAAATAAATACTTATTGACAATATAAATGTGTACAAAATATTGCATAGTTTGGAGGAAAAGTAACTTACGTGACAAAATTACAGCAAGTGCAATGACATTTGAAATTAGGACTGAGATAATAGAAAAGCATGAATAAATTTTGATAGGAGTTACAGGATATATAACTGCTAGAAACTTTTCTTGAAGACTTTTACCTGCAAAACATAAATACCAAAATACTTTCTCTTAGGGAGGAATCTCTTAGGGAAGAAAAATTTTAATTAGCCACAGAATCAACTCCAAGTTTAGTTTGTACTCTCCTAGTGCAAGTCTCTTCTACAAAAGGTCCCGTCCATCAATAATATCCATGAAAGAGGGCTACAAACAAGGGAAATGGAACATTTCCTCTCCAGGATTTTCTAGTTATTGGGAAAAGGGGCAATGAAAGTGTAAGACAAAAAAGAGGACAAATCAGGATGAAAAAGAGACATATAAACAATCCAGATTTGCCTCCATAATAAATGACCCAGTTAGAAGTACTAAGGGATACATTAGAAGATAAACCAATGTAATTTACTTTTTTTCCATTTAAAAAGTTAGATTTAATTTTTAAAAAAGATAAAAAATTTTCTTTCCACATGCCTCTAAGTAAAATAACTTATGGTCTAATTTCTTCTTCTTCTTTTTTTAATCACTCTACTTGTTCTTTTTAGTTACACATAACAGTAGAATGCATTTTGACATATCATACATACATGGAGCCGAACTTCCCATTTTTGTGGCTGTTTATGATGTGGAATTAAAGTGATCATTAACATAGGAAATTTATGTCCAATTCATTCTACTATCTTTCCATTCTCATCTCCTCTCCCTTCCTGCCATTCCTCTCTGTCCAATTTGGTGAAATTCCACCACCTATTTTGGGTCATCTGCATATTAGAGAGAACATTTGGCCTTTGTTTTGGGGGGGATTGGCTTACATCACTTAGCATGATATTCTCCAGCTCCACCCATTTACATGCAAATACCATAATTTTATTCTCTTTTAATGCTGAGTAATATTCCATTTTGTATACATACCACAGTTTCTTTATCCATTCATCTATTGGCATCTAGGATGGTTCCACAGTTTAGCTATTGTGAAGGTGGTCTAAACATTGATGTAACAGTGATACTATAGTATGCTGATTTTAAGTCCTTTGAGTATATGCCAAGGAGTAGGATAACTGGGTCAAATGGTAGTTCCATTCCAAGTTTTCTGAGGAATCTCCATATTCCTTTCCAGAGTGGTTGTACCAGGTTGCAGTTCCACCATCAGTTCCACCAGCAATGTATGACTGTACCCTTTTCCCCACATCTTTGCCAACTCTTATTGTTGCTAGTATTTTTGATAATTGCAATTCTGACTGTATGTAATGCACCATTTTAACAGAATAAGAAATGAGAGGACATAGGGGCATCCCAAGAAATATAGTAAAAGCATGTGAATTTAAAAAAAAATACAACAAAATGTTTAATGAGTCAATTTGTTTTAGCAAATATGAAATTGCCACAGAGAGAAAGAGAGGGAAAGTGGCCATGGGACTAGGGTGTTAGAGAGAGTCAGGAAGGCCAAAGAGAACCAACTATTTAAGAAATAAGGGGAAACAGGTGGGGTACCAGGGAGGACTGAAGGACCAGTGCTGTGGTCCTGCAAAGGGGTGAGGGCAGGGCACCAAGGGCCAGTCAACAAAATTCAAAATAGTTTGGCCATAAAATATAAACACAGTATGTTCCTACCTACCATGGGAAGGGGAGAAGAAAAGGGGTCTAAGAGAGAAAAGGCTGTTTTAAGAAGGGCTGTGGGGGTCTTATCTCCCTACTGTGCACCCCTCCTCATCCCAACCCATTCCCTCTGTGTCTATGTGGGCCTGTGTGCACTTCCCCAGTCCCTTCCCTGTCATAACCTCCCTACTCCCCACCCCCCACACTTAATTGCTGCCATTCCATTTTCTGCTGGCTATCAGGTGGTCATTTGGCTGTCACTCATCTTCAGAGGGGGAAAAGGCGAGACAAATGGGGAGAGAAGCCTCCAGGCAGCCATGCCCCCACCCTACCCAGGCCACTTCTACCAGATGTCTCCGCAGTGGTTAAGAGTCAGGGGTCACAATATTTTTTGACAACCACTCTGTTGGTGAATTTGTGAAGGTCCTGCATGGATTTCTGACAGTCAGACACAGAGGAGAACTCCACAAGGATCTTGCCACAGTCAGGCACCTGGACACCATCCACAGGCCTGGGATCTCAACGGACGTGAGGATCTGTACTTGCTGCACTTATCCCACAGGTCCTACATGACCTCCTGTACTCCTCATTAGCCAGGAGTGCCTCTGGCAGCACCACTTCATGAGGCACAGGACCTCAGTAGGGTGGGCCCCTATCTGTACCTGTGAGCTCATCAGGCCAGGCACCTACAGCATCACTGGTGTCTGATTGCTGGTGCTCAGCTTGGTGTTCTTGGATCCCATGCTGGTCCTCTGTATGAGCAGCTTTTTATCCCCACAGCTGTATCCCATTCAACCCAGCAATGACCTGATCCATGATGATGATATCAAAGAATCTACCAAAAGGATATTAGATGTAATAAATTAATTTTTACAAAGCTATGGTACAGTCCTGATCTTTAAAAATAACTTCTATTTTCATATGCTAGAATTACTAAATGCAAATTAAAATACAAGATCAGGACCATTTATAGCAACACCAATTAAGATAAAATATTTAACTTGTAAAGCTATCAAAATATATTCATAATCAGTATAATGAAAACTATATGCAAAAACAACAAACAGCTCTAAGAAGACATAAATCAATAGAGAAATAAAAAAATATTAATGGATTGGAATATTCAACTCATGGATTAAATATTCAAACTATTTCCAAACAGGTTTATAAATACAGTGCTATTCCAGTAAACATTGCATTATGATTTATTTTATTTTATTTTTTGGTAGAAATTAAGAAGGTCACTTTTTAATTATGTGAAAAGGTAAAAGAACCAAAATTGCCTAAATGATTTTAGGAAAAAAAAAAAAGATCAGATTTGGAGAAATCAGAGTTTTAGATTTCATGACTTACAAAGTAACAACAATAAAGACAATGCCAGAATGGTAAATAAACACATAAAGTATGCTTGATGTTGATAGATTTTTGAGAAATACAAATTAGAACCATAATTGGTAATCTCCATATGATTATTAGAGTAGTAAACAAAACTAAACAAAGTCACACCAGCAAGTGTTGCTGAAGAACAGACACAAATGGAAGGTCCTTGTATTGTGTTTAGCAAGGAAAAATGGTAAACATACGTATGCCACATGCCCTGTTCAGGTGCCCCTAGATGTTCTAAACAAGGGGAATAAAAACTCAAGTTTATATTCAAACCTGTACATGAACATTTATAGCAGTTTTATTTTTTATTGATTATTAAAAATAAAAAATTTTCAACAATTCAAATATTCTTCAGTAGAAGAATTGGTAAAAAAAAAAAAACACTACTCAGGACTTATAAAGAAACAAAAAATAATAAGAGGAAAAGATAAAAAAAATGGAGGAGGTAAGAAAGAGCAATGAAATTGGAAAAAAAATACTTTCTTACAAGTTTGTACAGATTTGACCACATCTGTGTCTAATTTCAAGTTTCTCTCCCAGGATCGCCTAAATGGAGACTTGCTCAAAAGAATAAATAATTGCAGGAGTCCCAACTTGAAAAAGCTTCCTCTATAGCTCATTTTAATCATCTTGCCCACAAAGAATCTGCAAACTTGAAGTTCCAGCTTTTGCAGGGTAAATTATCTTAGTAGGTGTATTATAGAGTCATTGGCATTGAAGTCTGCCATTAACCCGGAATATAAAGAGCATATTACTGAAAGTCATGGTGTGACCTACAAGTGTGCAAATTGCCAGAGACATAGGCAAGAGAGAGTACTAGTGCTCTGAACACAAGGAACAGTTTCCTCCTCCTCTTGCAACCAAATTCACTATTCATTAGTCTTGCTTCATGAGTATTTAAGAAACATATATCATAATACAATAACTAATGTAGCAATTCTATATCTATCCTCACACCTAGTCTATTCCCCTCTCTCCGGAACTTCTTCGGAGATTGTAAAATACTAACATGTCTAAATTCAGCTCCCTTTGCAATTCAGGGGCTGGGGAGTAAAAATGCCCCTCTTATAATTTTTCTAATTTCATCAATTACTTTACCAGGTTCAGCTTTTTCCAGTCCATCTGTGAATCTAAGGTCTGTTTTTAACATTTCCACTGAAGCCTCTGTAGCTGTCATCTTGGTGCTCAGACCTGAGAAGAATTCACTAGTGATCTCTTGGTGATGCTGGATTGTGGGTGAACCACAGATGCTCACCTCCTGACTGAGCAGGAAGCTGAAAAGGACTGTGAGACTAAAGCCCGCCATGGGAGGAACTTTGAAACCACATATTTAAGCAAATTTTCAGAACAATTTACTGATCTACAAATTTCCGGCCCTGAAAGAAGAAACATTTCAAAACAGAGAACCACATTAAGGAAAGCATAAACAAAATAAGTTAAACTGATAAATGACTAACTAGAAAATTTGTATTAGAACCTGCATCTTATTACTTTAAGTTAGTTTTATGTTCCGATTGATACTGATACACAAAACAGAGCTCAAAATTAAATAAATTTTACTGACACTATAAATGTGTACAAAATACTGCATAGTTTGGAGAAAAACTTACCTGACAAAATAATGGAAAGTGCAATGACACTTGCAATTAGGAGTAAGGTAATAAAAAAGCACAAATAAATTTTGATAGGAGTTACAGGGTATATAACTGCTAGAAATTTTTCTTGCAAAATTTTTTTTGCAAAAAATATTTTTCTGCAAAACATAAATACCAAAATACTTTCTCTTAGGGAGGAAAAAAGTTAATTAGCCACAGAATCAACTCCAAGTTTAGTTTGTACTCTCCTAGTGCAAGTCTCTTCTACAAAAGTTCCTGTCAATCAATAATATCCATGAAAGAGGGCTACAAACAAGGGAAATGGAACATTTCCTCTCCAGGATTTTCTAGTTATTGGAAAAAGGGGCAATGAAAGTATAAGATAAAAAAGAGGACAAATCAGGATGAAAAAGGGACATATAAACAATCCAGATTTGCCACCATAATAAACGACCTGGTTAGAAGTACTGAGGGATACATTAGAAGATAAACAATAGTAATTCACCTTTTTGTTTTCTATTTAAAAAGCTAGATTTGTTTTTAAAAAAGAATTTTTTTCACATGCCTTTAACTTCAAGTAAAACAACTTATGGCCTTATTTCTTTTTTTATTTTTAATTTTTTATCTGTTCTTTTTAGTTATACATGATAGTAGAATGTATTTTGACATATCTTTCATATATATATATATGGAGTAGAACTTCCCATTCTTGTGGTTGTACATGATGTGGAGTTACAGTGATCATGAACATAGGAAAGTTATATCAAATTCATTCTAGTGTCTTTCCCATTCCCATCTCCCCTTCCTTCCCACCATTCTTCTCTGTCCAATTTGGTGAACTTCCACTCCCCACCACCACCTATTGTGAGTCATCTGTATATCAGAGATAACATTTGGTCTTTGGTTTTTGGAGATTAACATGAGAGTCCTCAGTTCCATCCATTTTCCAGAAAATGCCATATTTTCCTTCTTCTTTATGGCTAATATTCCATTGTGTTAGATGTCCCATATTTTCTTTATCCATCCATCTGTTGAAAGGCATCTAGGTCAGTTCCATAGCTTAGCTAGTGTGAATTGAGCTGCTCAAAACACTGATGTGGCTCATCACTATAGTATGGTAATTTTAAGTCCTTTGGATATATGCCAAGGAGTGGGTCAAATAGTGGTTCCATTCCAAGTTTTCTGAGGAATCTCCATATTCCTTTCCAGAGTGGATGCACCAGTTTGCAGTTCTACCAGGAATTTCTCTTTTCCCCACATCCTTGCCAATTTTTATTGTTACTTGTATTCTTGATAATTGCCGTTCTGAGGGGATATAATGCACCATTTTAACAGAATAAGAAAAGAAAGGACATAGGAGCATCTCAAAAATGCAGCAAAAGCATGTGAAAATTTTTATTTTTAAAATTTTTATTTATTTATTTTTAATACAACAAAATGTTTAAAGAGCAATTTTGTCATAGGAAATATGAAACTGCCCCTGAGAGGAAGAGAGGGACAGGGGCCTCAGGATTGTGGGGGTGGGAGCCTGTTGGGGAAGGCAAAAGAGAACCAACTAAGAAACAAGGAAAACCAGAGCTGGGACCAGGGAGGAACAGAGGGAGGGGGCTGTGGTCCTGCAAAGGGGAGAAGGCAGGGCACTAAGGGCCAGTCAACAAAATCCAAAATAATTTGGCCATGAAATATAAACACAGTGTGTTCCTACCATGGGGAGGAGAAAGGGGTCGAAGGTGGGGAGGCTATTTTGGGAGAGGTCCTGGGGGTCCTACTTGCCCTGCTGTGCGCCCCTCTCCATCCCAACCCCCTCCCTCTGTGTCTGTGTGGGTGCTTGTCTGTGTGGGCCTGTGTGCACTTCTGCAGTCCCTTCCCTTCCCTAACCTCCCACCCCTCCACCCCCCTGTCATTTTGTTCCCACTCCTCTGCCCATCATCTTCAGAGGGGGAGGGAGAGGGGGACAGGTGAAGAGACAAACCTCCAGCCAGCTCTGCCCCTACCCTACCATAAGTCTCACCCATGGTTAAGAGTCAAGATCACAATATTTTGTGACAACCTGGTTGTTGGCGAATTTGCAAAGGTCCTGCATGGATTTCTGGTAGTCACACAGAGGTGAGCTCCACAAGGATCTTGCTGCAGTCAGGCACCTGGATACCATCTGTATCCAGGTGGACTTGAGGAGCTGTACTTGCTGCACTCACCCCGCAGGTCCCCCACCATCTCCTGTACTCCTCATCCACCAGGCGCACCTCTGGCAGCACCACTTCATGAGGCACAGGACCTCAGTAGGGTGGCCGCCCATCTGCACCTGGGAGGTCATCAGGTCCTGCACCTGCAGGATCACTGGTGTCTGGTTGATGGTGCTCAGCATGGCCCCCTGCAAGAGCAGCATTTTAATCCCTCCAGCTGTACCCATTCAGCCTGATCTGTGATGATGATGTCAAGGAATCGAGCAAAATTCTAGTAGATGTAATAAATGAGTTTTGGCAAAACTGTAAGATACAATACTAATCATTAAAAATCATTTCTATTTTCATATACTAGCAATTATCAAATGCAAATTAAAATACAAATTCAGTACCATTTGTAGTAATATCAGGATAAAATACTTAACTGTAAAGCTATCAAAATATGTTCATAATCAGTATAATGAAAACTACATGCAAGAACAATAAACAGCTCAAAGAAGATCTAAACAATAGAGAAACAAAAGATGTTCATACATTGGAATGTTCAACTCATGGATGGAATATTCACACTATTTCCAAACAGGTTTATAAATCCAGTGCAATTCCAGTAAACACTTCAGCATGATTTACTTTATTTTATTTTTTGTAGAAATCAAGAAGGTCACTTTTTAATTATGTGATAAGGTAAAAGAACCACAATAGCCAAATGATTTTGGAAAAAAAGATCAAATTTGGAGAAATCAGAGTTCTAGATTTCATGACTTACAAAGTAACAAGAATAAAGACAATACCATAGTGGTAAATAAACACATAAAATAATGCTTGATGTTAACAGACTTTTGAGAAATACAAATTAAAACACAATGGGTAGTCACCATATGATTCTCAGAGTAGCAAACAAAATTAAACAAAGTCACAACAGCAAGTGTTGGTGAAGAAAAGATGCAAATGGAATGTCCTTCTATTGTGTTTGGAAAGGCCAAAAAACATATATTTGTCATATGCCCTGTGCAGCTTGCCCCTAGGTATTCTACACTTGGGGAAAAAACTTGACTTTACACAAAAACCTATACATAAACTTTTTTTTTCAGTTTTATTGATAATTATGAAAAACTGAAAAATTTGCAACAATTCAAATATTCTTTAGCTGGGGAGAGATAAAAAAAATACCACCAGGATTTATGGGGTGGGAGGATGAGGAAAAGTTAAAATTAAACTGGGGCAGTAAGAAAAAGCAAAGCAAAGGAAAAAAAAAACACTTTATTAAAACCTTATACAGACTTGACCAAATCTATGCCAAATTTCAAGTGTCTTTCCCAGGGGCTCCTAAAGTCAGACTTGTTCAAAAGATTAAAAAGGCTGCAATGTGCAAAAGTCCTTTATACCTCACTTGAATGATCTTAACCACAAAGCTTCTCTCTTTCATCTCAGGCTCTCTCACACACATATTTTTTGATAACAATTTTTAACCTCTTTTATAAAACCAAGGCCTCTTCCTGTTTGATTTTTGAGACACTGCATATTTTGAAATAAGTGCATTATTCCTATATCATTGGTCCTTTTGAATAAAGTCCCTCCTTTTCTAAATCCAAATTTGTTTGTAGATGACAAACTATCCATCCGTACCATAGTGTGGATTAATCTCAAATGCATTACTACAGACTCTACTGCAGGATTCTATTTATGTAACATTCTGGAAAAGCAAACAGAAAACAGACCAGCAGTTGGCAAGGGCTTGGAGCAGAGGAGGAGAATGTCTATAAAGGGGCCTGAGGGGATTGGGAGTGGGTTGTGGATCTTTACCTTGATTGTGACCGTGACTTCATGATTATATGTGTTTGTCAAAACTCAAAATTCATACACCAAAAAAGTTAGTTTTATTGAATATAAGTTATGCTTTTAGAAAAGTTTCTGATGAGTTCCATTTCTCTATTACATTATACTCATTCTGCATACATCTCCAAATAAACCAGGGAGCCTCAGCTTAAAGCATACACAAGGACAAAGATATGTAGGATTATCTGATTTTAAGCACAGTGTTTTGTCATTTGGATTTTAGCTTGACATAAACATCTCAACTCATTATTTTTAGTTGTATAGTAAAAGTATCTTAACAACTCAATGCATCCTAATTTTTATTTATTTTTTATTGTCATTGGGCTAATATATAAATTTCTCCTTGAATTTCAATAAAGCTCCAACTTGCCCCTCTGACGAGTCTTCAAAAAGGCCCTCCTTTCTCATCTCCTTTTCCTTATAATGTATCTCTTCTTGGTTTTTTTTTACTTACTTTTTTGACATTGAAAAAAATCTCAAGCATATACAAAAAGAAAACAATATAATAAGTTCCTATATAACTATTAACTTTTCACCAATTTTCAAAATTATCAACATATAAGCAATTTGTTTCATATGCATTTCTTATTTGCCCCACCATCCCCCCACACACATAGTCCTCAAATTAATTTAAAGCAACTCATTCAAATTTGATAGGAATGGAGTT